TATATTGTAATAAGTATATATGAGACAGATAGGTACAATATCTTGTATTTTATGGTAAGTTTGTATGTATTGTAATCAGTATATATGAGACAGATAGGTACAATATTGTGCATTTTATAGTAAGTCTGAGTATAGTACAGGTGCCTGTGATTTATTTCTATTGTTTTCATCTGTAATTTGTCTATATAAGACACATATGAATATTCATACAACTAATAGACACTTAGTCTCTTCAGAGCAACATGAGAATTTTCATACCATATCCAAGCCAGATTCATCTTCGTAGTGTCCATTTTTGTATGATCGAATATGTTACTCTGTTTCTCAATCATGTTCTTTTCTGTGTGATCGAGTATGTTGTTCTGTTACTTGATCCTCTCTATCTGTCTGCGAGCTGTTGAATTGATCATGGATATGTACTGAGTTCTGTTGGCTCTTCCAAATGCTATTCTATTTTTTCAGCTGACTCGACCTTTTTTTTGTCTCTAGAAAAGATCTGAAGTTTTTGTCTGTTACTCAAGCCTAATCTATTCGAGCCTTATGTTTTCGAGGATTATTGATATGTTGTTACTTGATCCTGCCATGGTCTTTTGTTCATCTGTGCATGTTAATCAAGCAATCTGAATATGGCAAATGCTACTCTGATGGTCACGTTATACTCTTGAAGATTCAACTACTCATTGAAAGTTAGACCTATGTGATCTTTTGCCGGAGAATACAAATTTTTTTTTAATGATAATAATCACCCCTTTTATATTTTGGCAAAATGATCACTTACAGATGGTCCTTTTTACAATCAATAAATATTTTAAAATGAAGCAAAACAACAATAAAAATAAAACTCAACCACTTGATACCATTTTTACAACTTAACACTATGCTTGAGAATATAAATAAAAGAGCAAGAAAGTAAAAGAGAAGATGCCGGAGATTACTTCAACCAGGCTTATTACACCCCACACCGAGTCACTACATCCAATGGCGCATGATCAACAGTCTAGCTTCAATCTCAAACCGAAAAAGCTAATTTCGACCAAACTAAGTAACTACCCTTGAATCTCTACAAAAACCCTAACTACAAAATAATTAGAATCAAACCTTAATTTTCCCAACTCTTAGATTATATTAGGTCATGAGAGAGAGGGAGAGTCTCTAGGGTTGGGGCGTGCCCCCTAGGGTTTTTAGGAGAGAGAGTTAGAGAGAGAAAGTTAGAGAGGAGAGAGGGGCGTGACCCCTAGCGAGGAGAGAGAGAGAGAGAGAGTTTATGGGAGAGAAAGAGGAGTGTCTAGATGGGGAAGAGCACCCCTATTTATAGTGAAATTTAGATTTAGGGTTTCTCATAGTTTGCCTCTTTCTTGATAATGAATATGGACCGTTGATCAAGGTGACTTGTGGGGTGAGAGATCTGAGCTATCCATTCCATAAATGGGCCATCAACATTATGGAAGGTACACGAACTATTATCCCCCTTTCCTTAAAGCATTTTCCCATCAATATATTTAAATAAGTTAAATCTATTAAAATAGCATGCATTTCATAAAATTGTATAATCCATCTCGTATATTCCATAAGAATATATCAAATAATATCAAGTTAATATATACCTTCAATAATCAAGATAAGATATGGTCAATATTTCCTAATCAATATTTGACCATATGCTACAAGATATAGTTACCATATTTAATTAACTTGAACACAAATCAACAAGAGAAAGTATCCAAGGATGGGGCGTGCCACCCATGTATGGCATGTGGCGCCCCATCTAATACCCACATAGTGGGCCCATGTGCACTATAGGCCTCTCATGTATTTTTTATAAATATTTTAAAATTAAACAAAACGAATTTTAAACCATTATAACTTTGTAAATTAATAACTCCATTTTTATAAGTCCAAAAATAACAAATAAAATATCAAATGACTTATAAAAATTCTAATAATAAATCTAAAATAATTTAATAATAAAATGAACAAAATTAAATTAATACGATGGGAGGTGGATCCATATGGTTCAAGAATTCTATCAACGATCACAGGGTACTCCACCTTCAACTGTGGACTACAGACCACACTTGCTTTATCAAACTAACACAGTGTTTCCCATGACCGACAGTCCAAGCAAGGGCTCATTAGCGGGTCACCAAAATCTAGTGAATGAGCCAAGGGGTCGCAATCCCAGTTTGTGGATTACAGGTCCTACCCTAGATACGAGTCAAGGTCACCACGACCTGATGCGCCCACAGCTCTATGGCGTATAGGGGTATCTCTCTCCCCCATGCATATGCTTCACCCAAAAGTGGATAACTGGCTTTCTCGAACGATCTATCGATATGCATGCCGTGTGATGGAACATGGATGAGGATTTAGCCCCCGTTTCTGTAGGCCTACCATCACATACAAGGGTCAAACAGTCCCATGGCTCACTCATCTAGGCATAAGCTCCGACTTTATCAAGAGCTAACCCAAAACCCTTCTCGATTTATTCTTTATGGCTAAGTTGCCTTGGGTTTTCCAACCGATTGACCTAGACTGTCAAGCACAGTCCATTATCAACAAACATCATTTGCTTAGTATGATCCTCGAGGGACCACACTCCCACTGAGTTTGTGTTCCACTATAATAAATATTTTTCATTACACACTCATAAGGCCTTTAAATGTCACATAAACCCAACACTCATTTCTGAAACTAGTGTTCAAACTTCAGCTACTCTCTCTCACAGCATCTTGAGTATGAGGGGGAGTATAAATGGAAAGTAGATATTGACTACTAGGTTATTATGGAAAGTGTATGTTGTTATCATTATTTATGAGAAGGATAGGTACAATATCTTGTATTTTAGGGTAAATCTGGATATAGTATAAGTGTATGTGATCTATTTTTATTTTTTTCATATGTAATTTGTCTTATATAAAACAAGTCTGTATATTCATACAATTAATAGACATTGAGTCTTTTCAGAGAAGCCTGAGACTTTTCATACTTCGCACGCTCACATAAGAGCATGAGGGGCCCTTGCCCGAGCACTTGTTCTGATCAAAACATAGAAGCTTGTAACATATCACAGCCATCGAGATGAAGGCGGTGCATGTAACAGGTGATGATTGGTGATGCATGTAACCATGCAATAATAAATACACCGCCTCTTTAGAGCTCTATGTAATTGGTCCTTTTTCCCATTTGAGACACACACAATATACACCATTCTCTATACGAGTTTCTAAAAAACATAGCACTCATCCCTCTCTCTACTCTTTTTTCTCTCTTTCTCTCTCTAAAATTTATGACTCCTGTGTTTTACAGTAGGCTTCTTGTTCATGTGGGTGCATAGAGTCTAAAATTACAACAAGAACTTTCTATTTTTTTGTACCCCGAAAACGAATTGCCCTTTTCTTATGCACAGATTTCACAATGTATTGAAGGGGGGGGGGGATCATATTGAGAAAACATTATGCGTGCCCAAAAACACAAATGACTTTGCCTAATTCGTTCTATAATTTTGCCCCCTTTTTCACCTACCAATTTCCAACGGCAAAGGAGACGTGTAGGGATGGAGAAAATAATGGATACTGAGGTGGTTTTAAGAAAAGTGTACCACGTAAGATATGGGATGCACCCTCTTCCCTCTGTAATGCTGTTTATTTGTCTTATACTCTGTTTTGTGCCTCTGGTTTTTCTCTTCGGCGGAAATACCTTCTTATCTAATTTTCAAATGCAGTCTAATGAGAAACCTAGATAGTCTTTTGCAACAAAGAAGAAGAGTATTAGTCCTAACTACTAAGAATAAGAACATTCCTCCAGAAGGGCAAGATGGAAATATTATTGACCCCAAGGTGAAACATCATCAAGGACAAAATAGTGGGGTGGCAGAGCCCATGGTGATGGCAGGAGAGGAATGGCAACCCTGACTGGTTCAGTGCATGAAGATAGATAAAGTTTGACAGCATCAAGAAGGTTTGAACTTGAAGGAAGCTTTCTTTATTGATCCTCTGAATGCAGTCGAGCCCAAGTACAATTACAGTGGCAGGAGCGAGTGAAGCAATTGGTTTATTGGGTGAAGACTCTGCTGAGCATAAGGAAAAGAGCCCGACTTAAAACGCTGTCTTAGGCTCAATTCCTACTAAGGTATGGCCCTCTCCCCACTGACTCACCCGAAAAAAAAAACGAAAAAGACTTGGCTGAACACTATACGAAGATGATGGAACTTCAATAATTTTTATTTTTGCGGGATGAATTGTTGGATATCCCAATTAGTGGAGCATTATATACTTGGTTAGAGTAAGATATTTAATAAAATCAAAATTGGGCAAGTTTTTTATCTGTAGTCAACGAGAAGGTTTATTATAGAACTGTTTGCGAAGGCCCTCCCTAAATTGCCTCCAGACCACATCTATTTTGTTGCAAATAGAAATAGAAAATAAAGGCCCGAGACCATTTAGATTTGAAAATCAGAAGGTTAAAAGAGAATGGAATGGTCGATATAGTAAGGTACAAATGGGGAAATCTATAATTCATGGTTGGAATGGGTGTATAATCGCCAAAAAGTTTCAGAACTTGAAATAAAAACTTCTGGATTGGAAAACAAACAATCAATATAATGTGAGACTAAAGATTGAAAACAAATTTAATTTAGTTCTCATATTGGATAACATGGAGCAAGAACATGTGGGCCTTAATGCATAGCATATAATTGAAAAGATGAAGTTGAAAAATACCGTGCAAGAACATTTGAGAATTGAGGAGATTTATTGGAGACAGATCGACACTTAAAATGGTAAAAGAAAGGTGACCTCAACACAGTTCTTTCACTCAATTACAAATGCAAGGACTAACAATATCAATGGAATACAGATCCAAGATGTTCGAGAGAGTGATTTAGAAAGTTGGGAAGGGGCTATCATTGATCCGGACCCGAACCAACTACATTTCACCCAGACCTTGGTCAGATCGAAGTCATTTAGACCTAGACCTAACCTAGACCTGCCAGAAATAAAAAATAATAAAACAAGCATTTTATATATTGTTTAGCATATACATTTTATATGTTTCATAGTCACGTGTAAGAGCATGAAGTTACATGGGCATTAATAAAAGGTGTGCTCTCTGAATTTTGCAGGAAAGAAATAACACTACAGCAATTAAATCAAGCTTCCCACATTCAGGCCACATTCAGGCCGTCATAGGGATTTTTGGCACCAGAACTACATTTTCTGATAGGGTTTTGAAGTGTAAATTTACTTTAAAGTTGCAGCCTTACACCAATTGCAACTTATATAAAGTGCCAAAAAAACAATCTCAAAACCTCTTCCTTTCTTAACTTTACACATACTTGCATTGCTTGAACCAACTGATTCTCATTGATAACCTTGCATCATAGGTAGGAAATAGAGTTGGGCAGATGAGGTTTAAGAAATAGTTCAATGACGCACCAGATGTATGTAACATAGAACTAGGCCGCTGATATACATTATTCCTTTCTGTGCCTGCATCACTTAAGAAGCCATATCTCTTTGTATATTTCTCCTACTTTTTGAAATCCTCATACAAGTTCTCTTCTTTTCAAACAAACTATTTTGATGATGAGCTCAACATAATTTGTTGCCCGATCTTCCTAGTTGTGCCATGTGGGTTCCAATGCATAGAAAGAGAAGCACATGGTCACAACATCAACTTTGTGATTTTAGACAAAAATTCCAGAGGTTATGACAAATATAAAAACCCACTATCCAGTATATATGCGTCACTGAGCGAAATGTTTCAACTAATTTCCAGAAGAAGATTCTCAATAGCTTCAGATGAGAGCGGAATGTACAAGCAGTCTTGACCATCACCATGTCTCCGGGTCTTTAGCAGTTCGTGATCGCGAAACTCAGTCAAGTGAGAGTTTAGAGTGAGTTGGCTGCTCACCAGGAATCTTTCCCGGGACATGGTATACAATTGATTCACAGGCAACCCTAAGAGGAGAGCAAAAACAGTGAGCACGACAAACTAAACACTCCAAATATTTGTGAAAAGCAAATCTGCATATTGTTGTGTGTCGGTGCATCCATGTGTACGGGGTGTGTATGTGCATCCATGTGTGTGTGTGTGAAAGAGAGAGAAAGAGAGAGAGAGAGAGAGCCGAAAGGCCAATTTGACCTGCAAAAGTAACACCACCATATCAACAAGTTAAACTTTCTTTTTTGTGTGAGAGCGGGAGAGTGTGCTCGACTGTGAGTGTGTGTGTGCGCGACCTCGTGTGAGAGAGAGATGAAAATTTAAATTAATTAGTAAAATATTTTTGCTCGAATTTCATGGGTATATTATGGAAAAAAAAAGTAGGGTTGCAAGAAAGTATAAGTCTGCAAGTCCTTTCTGGGATTGGGTTCTCTTTTCCGTTATTTCCATGATTGATTGCTTTAGCAGATACTTTTGAGCGGTATAACATTCCAATGCACGGGGACTTGGTGAGGGATATCAAGAAGCATTTAGACTTAAATGAATGCTATCCATTAAAGATCTTGTATGCAACAAAATGGTTACCCGAAGGGCCCTTGGGGCACCAAAACCGCTAAGTTAATACAGATGACATTAATAAGAGCCTTTGATGCTTGTGGTCAGGCCAACGGTGAACCAACAAGGGAAGCAAGAGCTAAGCAGACAGAGGAATTGGTGCTGATGTGTCAAGGACAATTCACCTTGTTTCAGATGGCTGTAGGATGATAGATCCATAGCTACAGATAGAAATTACTTCCATAATCTGGGAGGCGAGGAATTACTCTTCAAGGATAGGATTGTTCAAACCCTCGAAGGATTAGATAAAGGCATTCAAGTTGATGTTCTCAAATTCCATTTTGATATGGTCATTGTAGAACGAGAATATGAAACACTAATCAATTGATATAGTTGGTGATATACAATATGACAAGGATCCAGATGAGGAGCATGATGGAGGTAGAAGACAGAAAACCCAAATATAAGGAGCCATGTTAGAATCTTCTCTCTGTGCACAATTTCCTCCGGAAAGTTATGAATAGGGGGTAGCATTGGGTAGTCAAAGATCCAGTACTACCAACCCCCACACTTGGGACTTTTGAGCCCTTTATGAAACAATGCAAAGACTTGATATTAGAAAACAAGTTCTGGTATTGCAAGGAAAGTCAAGGGAAAGATAATCATGCCTCTCCATATTGCGATATGATTGAGACTTGGACCTTGCAATAGAGGTTAAGATCTTTGAGATCGACCTTGGAATAGGCTCTTGCAGTCTTACTAAATTGGGATCCCACTAGATGACAAGTGAAAGATGGCATCTAAGAGTAAAGAAGGGTTTCCAAAAAGTTAACCAGAAAATTTGAAGAGAATTTCAAGGATATATTTGTCAAAAAATAAATAGTGGTAGTTTAGCAATAGCATATTAATCTTTTGGGGGTTACGTTCCCTTTTGTTATTTTTCATGTGCTATTAATTTTGTGGATACTTTTAAGTGGTTTTGGTTTTGACTTTCAAATGTATGGCGACTTGGTGAGGGTTATTTAGAAGCATCTATACTTAGGAATGAGTCTCTAAAAGGTCTACTTTGTGGCTTGAAAATACAGTAGAATTTTCAATTATATCTCAAAGAAATGTCTATTTCGTGTTTCCCTGTTTTTCTTGGTTTACACCAGGTCATGATGGAACCAGCCATGAGACTTCAAGAGGCCAAAATAAGAAAAAACAGGAGAGGAACAAGGGGCTGAGACATCATCTTTGGATGTGATGGGAATTTTGGGTTGCTTTCTGGTTTTCTTTCTCTGCAAGTTCTAGGTGTCTTTGGAGTTTAGTCAACGTATTGCGGGTTTCAAAGTTCTGGAAATCAATAAATTTTGGGGAATCTTCCTTTCCTTTTCTCTATAAGTCCAGATTACTATGTGTAATAAGTATTGAAGATCAAATAGTCAAAGCAGAGGCTCTCTTTTGTTGCTGGAATACTTGTGTTTCCCATTCTTACTTGCTTCTGGGACTAAGTTGCATCAGTTTCTTATCAGTGTGTATTCCTTCTTTGGAAGTTCTCGGACATTGATTAGAATATTTGCAACAAGAAGAGCTCGTGGTGCTGCAAAGGTCAACCCTAGGAGAGATCCAAGAGTCGCATGATCTTAGGAGACAAGTAGCAGAAGTAACATATCGATTGAGCAGAGACCTGGATCCCACTAGGCTAAAACACCTGAGTATCAATCAAGGAATTCACAAGAAAATCCATTATAGAACCATGCTAAAATGCGAAAAGCAGGAAAACTAGGGGATCAAAGATTGGATGGTTTGAATCCTTGAACAAAACCACAACTTTGAAATTAAGGTTGACATACCCTTGTTTCAAGGTCACCTTTTTTTTTTTTGAAATTGTTAACTGTATCAAGGTCACCTTTATTTGGAGGATTGGGAAAAACCCACCACGTGATCTTCTTTTTGTGTTAACCATCCCAAGACCAAATGACTATCTTCATTTCCAGAGTCCATGGAGCGAAAGTTTGTTGATTGGTACAATTTACTTATCTATGATGAACAAGAGGTGATTGCATAAGTATCTTACGGAGATCTAATGTTTTATCGTGAGAAGGGTTTAAATGGAGAAGATTTTAAACTTCTAATATATAACAGTGGGTAACCCTTAACTACAGGAGTTTTTGAATAGTTGCAACTATTGTTCATGAATGATTTAGTTCACCCACATGAGGAACATAGCTTTATTGATCTATGGAGGCCCAATAATTTGCAAATGGTGGGACTCATCATCAACTACCAAAACTGAAGTCAAAATTACAAGGCCAGGCAAAGAGTGTGGTGTACATCATGCCGAACAATTAGGTGAATTGAACTCCTGGTTGAGTTCTCTCCAACCTGAAGAGAAGACTGCAAGTGGCAAAACGAAGAAGAAAAAAGGAGAGAATCACGGGGCTGACACATAGTTGTGGTTGTGATGGGAATATGGGTTTCTTTGGGGTTTTCTTTCTTGGCAAAGTTAGGGGTCCTTAGGGCCAATATTTTCGGTTCAATATTTTGGAAATCTTCAAATTTGGGGTCCAGACTATTAAATATATTAAATGGCGAAGGTCAAATAGTCAAACCAGTTCCAGAGCACGGAAAAATGTAGGTTCAATGAGCCTTGGGTTTGTGACTGGATATGTCTATTTTTGTGTATGAGGGTGGCGGGTGAATGAATGAGTCTATTGTAATCATTTTGTAAGAAATTCTAGAGCTATAGCTCTCTTTTCTTGCTGGAATGCTTATGTTTGCCCCTTGTTACTTGCCGGACCTTTTCTCTCAAAGACTCATTTGTATGAGAGAGAGAGAGAGAGAAAAAGAGCACTTGAGCAATAACAGTCACGATGCCATAAAAACAAAGCCTATATTTTGATTTGTGTGTGTGTGCGTGTGAGTGAGAGAGAAAGAGAGTGTGTGTCCATTTTCCAATTCCATGCTTCCTGTACCATATATTATAAACAAACCATAAAGAGCGCTGCATAAATAAGTAATGAGAATCCACCTTCTTCATCAGGATGCGCCTGCTGGTATTCAGCAAGGACCTTGAAAACACTCTGAGCATTAGGTGTTAAACTCTGAAGAACGATTGCAGCAGTCTTTGCAGTTTGGGCAGTGCCACTGTTAGCAAGTATCAAAGGAAGGAATACACCTTCAGCCTTGTAAGGTGCGAAAGTTGGGACATGGTACCAGCACCAGTTGAACTCTATGGCAACCATCTTCTTATCCCACACTAGCACAAATCGCAGTCTTAGCAAGAGAACAGAACCACTGGAGATTGAAGCATTTGTTGGAAAAGTTTCAATGTAAAGGTTGCATTTGCTAGGGAATGTACCAAAAAAATGGGCAACTAACAAACAACTTTGTGTTTCCAATGCATGTCATTTTTTTCCAACAGCATACCTCGATCTCATTGAATTTGGAACGATTGTGGGTATATAATACGAAAGGAATGAATTGCTTGAAAATCATTAGACCAGAACCATAACCCTTCAGCAGATCTAGTACTCCTTAACCAGCGTATAGATCATTCCATGAAATTCTTGGAATATTTCAAATATTTTAACTTATTGCTTCACAAAATGGATACAGAAATGCCTAAAGATATCATCGATAATGTAATAAGCTCAATTTCGAAGGTGCTAGTCGAGGAACCAACTGTCTGAATTTTGAAAGGTAAATGCTGAGCTAAGTTGTACGGAAATTTTCGACAATTTTTACCACCAAGTGATATTTGGTATTACTGAAGCAGATCTTTCTAACAAAAAATTCAGTAAAGACAAAAATTTCTATAAGTCACAATCAAACATTTTCTAGTCTGTTAAGACAAAACAATAATTACCAACCAGACCCTGAATTTCTAAAAGGCACAAGAATGAAATAAAGTTGATGACGTTCTAGCACCAGAATAAGATTGCTACCCATAACCATTATGCCTAAACAACTGGAAAACCTCTTTCTGCTCTAGCTTATATATCAATAAAATAGAAGAAGATTTTAGTATTACAAACAAAAAAAAAGATAATTGATTAAGAAATGATGAAAAGAATCTCATATTGGTCAAAAGTATCATAGCTTAGGTGGCAAAAAGATACACTCACAAAGAGGTGCATTGACGTGGTCTATAGATGCTATCATACGGATTTGAGAACAGCTAGCAATGCGTGCAAGCCATTTCTGTGATTCACCATCTCGTAACCCAGGTCCATCTATATTGTGGATAACCACATAAACTAAATCTTGGTCTTTGAATTCTGATCCATCCAAGAAATCAAGAAGTTCTTCCATGGTTTGTGATCGGAAAGGTTGTGACATATTTGACATATGGCCCTTTCGCTTGGTTCTTATTTGATCCCATAGAAGTTCAGCAATTGCGATCACAACCTTCAAATGGGATGGTCAATTTAACACTGACATCATAGAAACTAACATAACGAAACATCTCAAATGAAAGTCATAAACTGCATATAGTTGTTGCAAAAGATTCAGAGTATCAAAGTTCTAATGAATCACAGAAACTCAATATTGAATTGCAATATATTGTCATAAGCAACTATTTCAGTAAAAACATTACTCTCAAACAAATTAACATAAAACGAGAAGTTGCTTAAATCAGTCAATAAAGGAGTTTGAATACCTTCTTTGCAACTTCGAAAAATTCATTACAACGATGCTAGAAATATCAATGGAATTGAACACTTATAGAAATATCCAAAACTAGAAAAAAGGAACTGGCACTTCTCAAAATAAGAACAATGAAATTATGAATCAATAGCACAAAACAATGTTCAGTATGATAGAGAAAGTACTAGTTTAATGTTGATGGAATGAAGGTAGCCATTGACAACAAGCACTCCAAAATCTGCTAAAGCTGTCGAAGCGAAATCTTCAAGCATGGCTTTCTTGGAACCGAAGCCATACATCAGAAGTCCAAAACCGCATCTGTGACATGCAAATCATATGTATTTTATTCCGAAGTTAGAGAACAGCTCTTTACTCCTAAATGAAAAGAAAGAATGATTAATATCAAAGAAAAAAAAAAATTCCATTTACTAGCTTAAAATGGTTACAGGGATAAGAAAACAGAATGATCTATCTCCCAATTAAAACAGAAAAGTCATGTTAAGCATCTATAAGGTCATGATGAATCCAACCATGCTAAGCAGACTGGACTGCTTGGGGACACCTAAACATATCACATATTGGAAACCAAATAATGAATTCTTTTGAAAAAAAAATACATTAAGCACACAAAAAACATTTCAAAGCCATGTCAAAATTAATGCTTCAAGAAGCGCTTCAGTTCGTTCAAGGTTGCATTTGTCATTTAATTCAGTTTTGGTTTGACTTGTGGTATACAAATACTTACTGAGAGACTCCTAACATTGGCAAGCTTAACCCCCAAAGTTTACATAAGTCACTGAAATAAAAAATGGTCAACTCTCATGGACACCAATATCAGGCAAAGACGATTAGATTTCAAATTGTAAAGGCTACTCGAGCAGGCATAAATCCCATTCTCAGGGGTGGACAAAATGGTCTGGAGCTCAAACATCAACATTGTGTTCACAGTAAAGTCCTTCTACTGGTCCCTATCTCATTCTTCACTCTAAACAGAAACAGTGTGAAATGCACGTGGTGTACCATCTCCCCCAAAAGTTCAGGTTTTGTGATGACTGATTAGTAAGACAAAGCACTCACCACTGATGGCCTCAGAAACCGTGTTGGGCCTATCCCTAAATAGGTGCATCATGTTTGGGGCAGATGAGGAAACAGTGAATTATCTTGTTCTCCATTGCATTGTAGTTGAGGCTATATGGTCATTTTAACTGTCTATTTTTTCTTTTACCTATGACATACCAAGAACTGTGGAAGAACTTTTCTGACACTGGGTCTTCAGCCCCCCCACCTTCTTTTCTTTTCTCCCCATCCCAAATTCAACACCACTTCCACAGATGGGCCTTATTGTTTGGCATTTGAGCTTGCTGGCTATATTATGTCTACTGTTATTAGAAATTTAGAAAGACATTCAAGGAATTTGCAAGTTAATACTCTAGTTCAGCCAAAATAAGAGAATATTTTGGGTTGTGTTATTGACTGGACAATTGTAAGAAAAGAGTTTCGGGTACATCTATCTGATCTACATCTACACTGGCAAAATTAATCTTGGACCTCAAATAATAAAAGATGCAATAGACAAATTTGGTTTCCACCTAGCCAAAATAATATCAAATTGAAATTTGATCACATTTCAAGTGCAGCCCAGGTCCAGCTGATATTGGAGGTACTTTCTGGAATCACCAATAGAGAGGTTTATGCTCATATGCTGGTCTGGCACGAAAATGCACGGATAATAAAGCAGGCCCTATTTAACTGGTCTCAGAATATATGGATCTCAGCGGGGTGTATTGTGAAGAAGACACAGCTAATACTATAAGAGGAGTCCAGAACCACTCAAAGTCTCAAACCGCCATGGAAATTGCAAGAGATCTTTAGTGACATTCAAGGCATTCTACAAGGCCCAAATGTTGTATTCCAAAACTCTTGGTGTGAATATAATGAGATTGTAGATCACGTAGCAAAAGAAAGAACACTTAAAGCCACCTTGTCCATAGCCATAACAATCCAGTTTAAGTTGTCCCTAGTTTTGTACACACCTTTTTATCCATAGTACATCTATACATCAATATTGTCCTTTGTAATTCCGTCAATAGAATACAAGAAGTTACTTATCAAAAAGAAAGAAAAAAAGAGAGAAAGACATAGTGGACTTGGCCATACCAAAAACCATGTAGCTTCCCCTCAATATCCATCGTAAAGATGGAATGAGACCCCAAAACACTGTAGATCCACCCTCTTCACCTCCATCATCATGGATTCTGAAAAATTAAAATGGATTCGGAGCCCTAACCATCTTTGACTGCTTTCTTAACATCTGATATGGACATTCATTTCAATGGACACCACATCCGTCAGGTTTGCACCAGTTTAGGAGCTCCAATTCCAGTTTTTAAGGCTGGAAATGGATTTGCAAGTGCTTAGGAGGAGCTTTGGCTCCTTAATTCATCAAAACATGGGATTGAGGTGGAGTAGGACAGGGTTTTGGTGGGCCTGGACTGCACTAAAACTGGACCCTTCTTATAAATAGGAAACTTGAAAATATGGAATGGATAAGATTAATAAGAAAAAGAATAAGACAATACATTAAACCATTCAGTAAACAAAACTCTTCAAGGTTTTCATACAAGGTCTGGAATGCTGATTCCACACTAATATCATACTCCATATACACGGGCTGACCATAGATAGAACAATTTATTTAGAGCCATTAGTTATTGCAGCCAAAATATTGTAAAGAAAAATAAAAGCAGTTAAGTTGCTACTTATTTCTCAGATCCTATGTTACAAGAACATAGATACGAGAACCCCTGTCCAACTCAAATTCAAAAATCCCACATGCCTATTTATAATTTGCCAAGTCTAGAATGACATTCATAAAATCAATATAGGTAATATCATCATCATCATCATCACCTGAGCCTTATCCCAACTATTTGGAATCAGCAACATGAATCTCGTTCTACCATTCAGCTCAATCAAAGGTTATAACCTCAATCAGACCATAAGCCACCATATCTCTTCTTGCTACTTCCATCCATGACTTTTTGGGCCTTCTCCTTCCCCTTTTTATTTTTGAAATTTAAAGAAATAGTCCTATATATTTTACACTTAAATCCCACTATTTTATAGTGAAAATTGTGTTTTAAATTATTTTTTTTCTATTATCCAATTAAGCTTATATTTTGGGCATCCATATCTCTCACCATAATACATTTGTAAAAGATAGTAAAAGATAAAATTAAATTAAATAAAACTGATAAAAAATACACCCATAAATATAAAATTTTGGGGCAATTATGATTATTGTGCTTATTTTCAAGTATTCTTTCAGTAATTTTATAATTGTGAGAAGAATCAACTCACCAAATTGAGCTTAATCTGATATATAGAAAAGAAAAGGAAAATTGTTTGGTGTGTCCAAGCCCGCACCTGTTACTATGAGGGCTTGGAGGTCTAAGCCATCCACTAAAACCGGGTCTCATAAATAATAGTCCTCCAAAGAAAAAGTAAAATCAATGGTTCAAATATTTTCTCCAAAAAATATCATTTCCAGTTTTTAAAATTTATTTATTTTTACAGATTAATAATCTCCATGTTAAAGATTACAGATTCCCAAAAAATTAAGATCAAATTCTATTTCAAAAATAAATTATTAACGAGCCCGCATTTCTACATGTGAGTCCGTGAACTCATAGAAATAGTGTCCAAAAGAAAATAAAATTAAAATACAATATACAATCTCAAGAAGTAGGACTTGAATGTAAAATATAAAACATATAGGACAACCTTTTAATTTTGATAATAAAGTGGGAATTTCTTGCTAATTTTTCATATATAATTATAAAAAGTTTCCTCTCTCTCTCTCT